GACTATTGGGAGAAAGACAGAATATTTAATAAATAAACACATCGTCCTTGCAGAGTAGCATATTGTTGTTACCCATAGATTCTTTGGTGCTAGGCTGAGTAATATAAAACCATATTGCAGTTTAATCCAGTGTTGTTATGCAGTGTCCTCGCACTTCTTCTTCTTCTTCTTCTTCTTCTTCTTCTTCTTCTTCTTCTTCTTCTTCTTCTTCTTCTTCTTCTTCTTTTACTGCTGGACTGGTCTCATAGATATGTGAAGAACTAGACAGTTCTAACCTTGTATGGTATGGTAGTTATCACTCTTTACTTTTGTACTCATGACTTTTGATGAGCCTGGAGATTTAGAAGCTGCATTCTGGAATTTAGGATCAAATATATTGTTCTGAAACAGAACATCTTTTCTAGCAGGATATAGTAAACCATCTATTATAATGAAGCTCTGCAGGGGTGGGAGTTATAAGGTAATTTGAGCTGTCTGCTAGCCTTAGTGCTTGCTCTTTCTTTCTTTCTCTTTCTTTCTTTCTTTTTATCTTTCCATCAGGAATCGTTTGGTGAGTAGCTGTAGAAGTGTTTTGTTTTTTTAAACAGTCTTTATCTTTTGGGTTTTGAGGTCAGAGTGGAGAGTTACGAACTCAGTCTGCACAAAAAATCAGATGCCATCTTCAATGGGCTTTGCCTTTTCTGGCTGGAATGGTTTATTATCAATGTGGAAGTCACTATTTGCCTCTGGAATAAGAAAAGGTGATATGGAAGTATGCTGATTTTCTTTTTATTTGAAGAATCTTAACCTGGGGTATGGACACAGCTGGAACATCTAAGAAGAGAAGCCATCTGGAACATCTGTCTTTACATATCTGTCTTTGATATGTGTGTGGTGATAGATCTGCAAGTGCAGCCATTGAGAGTTGCTGATATTCTCATAGACTATAACTAATTTGGTTTTCAACCTATTTTCTCAGCCCTGGTTGGTACACATATTGAAATATTTTAGAACTTAGTTTCTTTGGACACGATGTTATCTCAGACCAGGTGAAGCCAGTACTGACTTGCCATGAGCAGAGAGATGATAGATGTCTTCTATGAAGTGAAACAAGGAAAAGGTTTCACATTAATTTGATAGTAGGCAAAGAAATATGTAATCATGCATGCTCCTGCTTTCACAAAATGATAGATCACTACAATTCACTTCCAATGAAATATGTCAAAGGTGAAACTCCTTAGCCCTTAGTCCAATTTGAAATGGAAACAGGAGTTGTAGTTAAAATTCATCTAAGTCAAGATCTAAAATCCCAATTACTTTAAACACTGTGTATGACCTTATAGCAGGATGCCTGAGTGAGCAGAATTTTGCTATGGGAGACATCTTGTGTCCCTTCAGGGTGATTCTCACAAGAGGAAGGATGGTAAATTGTCCCTCCGTTTTTGCTGGAGATCTGTTCTGCTCCCCCCCCCACATGAAAATGGAAAACCACAAATATTCAAGCCCCATAGGCTTGACTGGGGGCACGTGCCCCATTTTGTACCCTTCGATTTCTTGCCCATGAACGGGTGAGGGACACAAACTTGAAGTCCATGAAAGTGGAGGTGCAACTGTAGTTGTTGTTAGTCAAAATTTATTGAGATTTGCCATTGTATTCCTTTTAGATTAAGAGAATATGGTTTGTCCAGGGATCACTCAAGGTTTGAACCATGTTCTCCCAAAGTCCTAGCACAACTCTCATAACACTACACCATAACACTTCTGTAATAACTATATCTCCAGACTATCTTAGGAATTTGCATCTTGTGCTGTGGAAATATTCATAGTTATAGAATACATGCCTTGCATGCAGTTGTTGTTGGGTTGAAATCAATTGTAAGCATACAGTTAGACCACTTAACACCAGTTGTGTAGCAGGTAAAAGGCCTCTGCCTCAGGTCCTGAAGAATCACTGCTAGTTTGTGGCCTGTTTAATACAATCTATGCATACAAATCCTAAGTGCAATGAAAGATTTGACTAGTGCTCCTTATCTGTATATAATTATAGAATGGAGAACTTGATGTTCAGCCAAGATAATGTGCTTTAGTAAGTTTCTTAAGTACCAAATGACCACAAAAGAAATTACAGGCTTTCAATAAAATTGGATAAATTACTGTTTAAGATGATTCAATAAGAAATATAAACATGACAAGCATTCCAAAAAACTGTTCTCTTATAATACTTTTAAAAAAAATGCCTTCAGCAGTGTTCTTAGAACAATAATGAGAGTGACTGCATTTGCTAACAGCTCTGTATGTACTAGGTAGACCACTTGTCTTTGGAAATGATGGTATAGAGTAATATAAATGGCTATTATACAAATTGAAAAGTGTATCTTTCTTTAATGGGAACTAGCTGCTGTGCTTTAGAAAGTGTGGATATTGTAATTCAGTGTTGAGGGATTTTTTTTTAAATAGATAATGTTTTATCTTGTTAATTGGAGTGGCACCAGTCATAAAAAAACCAACATGGACATTTTCACTTTGTTTTAATTTTGATTGAGAGTTTCAGCAGATGAGAAAACTAGATTTGGTGCATACAGACCCTAGAACTGAATGAAATGTAGGTATGGAGAATGGAGGACTGAGAATTTTGATCACATTTTTTTCTGGTGAGATGGTTTGCTTTATCCATCCACTCCAGTCCTTTCTTCTTTTTTTCTGATAGAAATCCTTCTTCTTCTGTGCTCTCTTGCCTGAAGAGCATGAAAGGTTGAACCATTTTTATATTCCCAAAGGAGGCTGATTACTTAAATTATAGTGGGGGAGGGAAAAATCCAAAATCCACAATTTTGGAGATAACATTAGTACTTTAGATAGTTCCCTTAATGTTTGCTGTAAAATCTGGACTAGATATACCACCCCACTGACAGTCTGAGTCTCCTGCCCATTCCCGATTGATAGGAAAGCACCTTTGGTACAATTTGTTCAGAATAGCTTTTAAGAAACCATAGGAGGCGTGTCCCATTCCACTGTTCTGATCAAGTTTACTGTCCCTTACAGTAGGATTTCATACTGCTTATCTGGCTCACACATCTTATTTAGTCTAGTCTCTGCAAAAACCTATATGATGAAGAAATTGAGGGTTTTAAGCACTCAGATTACATTTTGGATGAATTGTGCACACATCCCCCCCCAATTGTGTGATCAATAGAGATATTCAAACCAGAAGGCTCAATAATTTTTTAAAATAAAGGTGTCATTAGTTTATACCTCCAACTGTTTGGATCTTCATGTTGTAGTTGAAATCTTTTATATATCACTGAACATTGAACATAATGTTAATAGCCAACAAAATGTGGAATTCTTAGTCATTTAGGGCTTTAATTTTAACTAATACTTAATTATACAGTCATCCCTTCTGTTTCATGGACTTCCCGTTTGTGGCTGCAGTTAGGAAGCCAGAACAGAAATAATGGTGTGTGCATTCATTCAAGCCAATTGGTCTTGGACATTTGCACTTTTTTAATTTTTTTTTTTGGGGGGGGGGTTTGGGACGGATCCTCTGCAAAACTGGAGGGACAACTGTACTATTGTTTGCTAGCATATGTGGCTTTCTGCACAAATCCTGGTTCCTGGTTATGACAATATCAGGAATTGCAAATGCAACTTTCCTAACATAAATATTGGAGGATTATATGATAGGTTATATACCAGAAACAACTATTGCAAAGACATGGTGATTTCTTCTGCAGGTAGCAAGATAACTGTAGAGGAAACTGGCATGATTCAAGCCTATTCAAACAAAAATCCACCAAACAGTGATACCTTTATTGGCCAACCAAAATGCACAATTACTTGTTGCAAGCTTTTGAAGCTCCACTGGCTTCTTCATCAGGCAAGATGTTACAAACCAAACAGGAGAAAAATTGGAATTGTTAGTAAGATGCCTGCATTTTGTTGTTTCTGCTCTTAGTTAAGATGGTATAGAGAAGGCATCTCTTGCACTCTGGCTCCTCCTCCTTCTGGCCATGTGGCAATTGGGAGATTTTCAAAGTCCAGGAAATTTGAAGTCCATTTGCATTTCAACAAGGACTCCTCTCTTGCAATCCATTCTGTCTCCATTCCTGTGAGTCCACAGGTGTCTTTGTAGGCAGAGAACAATGGATTTCTTAAGAAGCTTCCATCTTTTTGCATAAGGAAAAATTTGGTAGGTGAAGAGGTAAAACATGCTAATCCAGTCCAAATTTAAGAAGAAAAAATTGTTTTACCTTGGTTGAAGGTCCCAGTTCACTGGCTCATTCTTTAGGGTTCCCCTGTTGCAGCTACAATGTGGCATCTAACAATCCAGAAAACATGAAAGGATAGCCTGTTCAAAACCTGTTCACTATTGTTTCTGTATCTAACTGTAACAACAAAGAAGGGGTGACATGGGAACGAGAGGGACAAATGTGTTTATTAATTACAACAAATGACAACTGAGGTGGCCATGATTTTGAAATTGTGTGCAGATTAATTACGCAACATTAATACTAGCAATTTGGTTCTAACAATCTCTCTGGACTGAACCTATAGCTACTGAATAAAGATTTACTGAGTTGTAACTACTGAAGCCTATGTTTCTGAACTTGGTTCCCGCTGGACTTGACAGACACAAACTGGGAATTGTGCCTAAATTCATGCTATAAGAAAAGTCTAGAACTGACAATGATTTCTAGTCCCAGCTAGAGAAGTCTCATTGAATCAGTTGTTGAATGATAAGTCAACACTTTTGCAAATCCATCTAATTCAGTGGGACTAACAATAGCCTCAACATTTACACCTCTAGTTTAAACATTTCTCTTATTCTTCCATTGTTGTTGTTGTTGTTGTTGTTGTTGTTGTTGTTGTTGTGTGCTTTCAAGTCATTTCTAATTTATGGCTACCCTAAGGTGACACTATCATGGGGTTTTCTTGGCAAGATTAGTTCAGAGGAGGTTTGTCATTGCCTTCCCTTGAGATTTAGAGCATGTGATTTGCCCAAGGCCACTCAGTGAGTTTCATGGCCAAGGGGGGAATAGAACCCTGGTTTCCAGAGTCATAATCCAACACTCAAACCACTATGCCACTGTCCCTGCTGATTAGTGTATATTTGTCTTTCTGTCATTGAATTAAGTAAAAGAATTGCCAGCAAGATTTTCCTAGAATATAATTCAAATCAACTAATGCAAGAAATTCTGGAATCATTTAATATTCTACCTATTCCTTGTGGAGGAAAGAAAAAAAGTTCATTGGAGACCTACTAACTGAATGATGATGATGATGATGATGATAATAATAATAATAATAATAATGATGTTTTTTTAAAAAAAGATCAGAGTCAAGATTATTGAATGACCTTTTCCCTTGACTTGTAACATTTCAGCTCTCTGCTCATCTAGCCTAAATAATATAGAGGTTTTTTTTTTTTTAATGGCGTGTGGAGGGAAATGGCTTCACAAGGGAAAATGTTGATTTGAAACAAGTGACATCATTTTACAGACTAATAATAATAATAATAATAATAATAATAATAAATGTATTTATACCCCGCCCCTTTGAGATCAATCGGGGCAGCTTACAGTAAAAAGTGCAGTGTAATAATAAAAACAAATTACCTCCCACCCACCCCTTAAAAAGTTATTAAATCAATTACAAGTTAAATAAACAGAGTTAAAACAACAATCACCAGTGTACAATAAAGCGACAGAGAACTGTGGTAATATAATAAATAGTTTTCAGGGAGACAATTAGGGCTCCCCTAAGGAAAGGAGGGGACTGAGGCCGGGGTATTCTATACTGGGAAGGCTTGCCGGAAGAGATCTGTCTTGACAGCTTTTTTAAAGC